GACTCAACCCCAGCTCAGCAATCGTAACAGCTGCCAAACAGGCACACCTTAACAGTACAAACCACACACTGGGACCACACGAGCCCTATTCAGAAGCTCGTGTTTTCTTCTCACTCAAACCAGTCGACAGCACTGCTGAAGTCTCTGCCTTCACAGAGGGAACATCCGCTCTCCAGACACCTCTGCATGGTCACACTTTTAACACAGCATCCAGAAGACTGCAGCAACCTCTATTACAGAATCACAGGACGATTTAAGTTGGAAGGGACCTCAAAAGATCATCTCATCTAGTCCCACTGCCATGCCATGAGCAGGGACATCTTGCACTAAATCAGGCTACTCAAAGTCCCATCCAATCTGGTCTTGAACACTTGTAATGAAGGAGTATCCACTGCTTCTCTGGGCAATGTGTTCCAGGGCTTCACCACCCTCACGGTAAAAATTTCTTCTTTCTATCCAATCTAATCTACCCTCTTTCAGTTTAAGCCTCTACCCTTTGCCCCGTCACTACAAGCCCTGGTAAAAAGTCTTTCTCCATCTTTCAAACAAGCTCTCTTTACAGATCCTTGTCCTCTCCAGGCTAAACAACCCAAACCCTCTCAGTCCTTCTTCACAGGAGAGTTGCTCCAGCATTCTGACCATTCCCATGGCCTTCTTCTGGACCCAGTATAACAGTTCCACATCTTTCTTGTACTGGGGCCACTGGAGCTGCCAAAGAGACCAAAATCCTTGCAACACACCATGTCCAGAGGGCACTGCTGGCACTAGGTTGAACAAAGTTTGCTGAAGCAGCACCTGCCAGTGTGTTACGACCTGCTGGCTCAGTGCTAAGGTTTACCTGCACTGCTTGCATTACTGGATTTCTGCACAGGTGGTGGTGTGACATGGTTGGCAACGGCTGTGGAGGAAGGGGGAGGTATAGGAGGGACTGCAATTTTGCCTCCTGGTGGGGGTGGCAGCAGGCTTAGGCCCCCTGATCCAGACACACGGGGCTTGGCTACTCCTCCTTTCTTTGATGTCATGTTCTGTGTTAAAAAAAAAAAAAAAAGTGTAAAGAAGAGTCTCCATTGGCACATCTAGAGAAGGAAGCAAGGTAAATTGGTCTGCTTACCCCAATGTTTAGCTTGATGGTCTGCCCTTCCTTAAACCCTAAGTCTAATTTGGGACGTGTGTCAGCTTCCTGGGACTCCTTGGAGATTTCAGTCTCCTGCTTCACCCACCTAAAAAGAAGAGAGGAAAACATGAGGCCCTGTGGCAAAAACGAACAGTGTTTTAAAAAAATGTGTGATTTCTCTCTCCATCCCACCAAACTACTTTGCCTTGCCAAACCAGCTACCTCCCTACTCCTGGTGTCACACAGCACAAAGCTGGGACCACCACAAACCCATGAAGCTGTTTGATACTGCACTTGAAGCAGCACAGGACCCAAGCTTAAGACACACAGATCTGATCAGGAAGGGGCTCTCAGCTTGTACGACTGCTGGCAGCACACACAAGTGTCCCTTGCCAGAGCAGGGTTTCAGGGCCACCCCAAGGAAACCTGTGCTAAATGAACATGCACCACCGCCCACCATGTTCTACAGGCCTGAGGAAGAATAGCATTCCAGAAAAGCGAAACTCACTTGAAGTGATCCTGCAAAGAGACGTTGAAGTCAAAGGCATCACCCCGATCTGTGAAGCCAATGCCTATAAAAGCACTTCGTCCTAGCAAGGAGACAGGAGGAGTCACTGGAGGTGCCCTGCAACTGGGCAACAAATCCCTCTGCTTGTCCTAAACCACTCTGTGCTTCCTCTATCTGACACACCTGCAGATGGATGCCAGCAGCTCACAGCAGTTCATTGTCCCCAGCCTTCAGGATGCACCCTTCTTCCCATGGGGTGTGCTTGGAAACTAAATGTTCCTTCCCAGCCCAGCCCCTGGGCACTGTGCAATGTAGAGAACCTTCTCTGTTTGCCTTGTCCTCAGACTCCTCCAGGCACACCACCTGGCTTTTCCAGCATTCCCAACACCATTTTCATCCTCCTGGCACACTCCCAGCTCCACCTGGGTCTCCTCCACCCCTAGCACTTGGCACTTACACTGGCCCCCAACTCACCAGTCCCATCCTGAATTCGAATGACAAAGTAGCGGCTGGAATCTGCCACAGTCTCCACTGCAATGCCAGGGTATTGATCTATAGGAGCCTGGGCAAAAAGTTCTCCTGCAGACAAAGAATCAGCTGTTAGGAAGAGCAACCCCTTTCTAAAGTGTGGCCAGGGCTGCCATGCACAGCTCTGGGCAGGCTCAGAAACAGAGGCTCAGGGGCAGCAATCACAGTCGCAGCCTTGGCAGGGCACAGCCTTTCCCTTACCTGAAACCTTATCCTCCAGTTTTATGTAAGCAGTTTTGCCTTTGGAGGTGACACGAAGCCGCCCTGTCCAGTCTGGATGGTCCAGTTTCCAGTCAGACGCCCTGAAAGGAAGGGCAGTGAGCACTGACCATGTATTCTGCCCAGCCACCTCAGCAGAAGTCTCTGCTGCCAAACTCTCAACCCCTGCAGCTGCCTTGCTCCACTTCCCTCCCCAAATAAGACATGGGGTCTCAGCTCCTCTCTTGCTGCTGCCAACTGACACGTGACTCTGACTGGCATCTCTGGGCAAAGGGAAAGAGACACAGTCCAGAGAACATCAACTCCTCACCTCTACAAGTTTGCAAAAGAGGGGAGACAGAAGCACAGAAACTCATTTGAACAGAAAATCCACAAAAGCCACTTGTGAGCATTAGGAAGATCCCAAAAATTAATTCGTAACATGCTGAAAAGACACTCCATTATTCTACCCTATGGTTGTAAAATAACACTGAGTACTTCATAGCCTAGAGGCAGCTGACTTACACTAGCCAAAACACACTCACAGACATTTCGACTCACCCATCACACTTTTTGCCACAGGCTCTTGTGAAGGAAAAAAAAAAAGGAAAGAAAAAGCACTACAGCACCACAGAATACTCTGAGTTGAAAGGGACCCAAAAGGATCACTGCATCCAGCTCTTGGCCCTGCACAGGACACCCCAAAAATGACACCATGTGCCTGACAGCATTGTCCAAACGCTTCCTGAACTCCGGCAGGCTTGTGCTGTAAAATCTACAGGATTTTATAACTGGAAACAAACATCCTTGCCCAGGCACAACACCCCGCCTACAGTCTGTCAGGTTCGGGGAGTTCACAAACCCGCTCCTCCAGCAGGCCTGTGGGCACATCTTACGAAGTCACACTCTGCTGCTTTTGGCTGACCAGAGAAAGCATTTCTAACTGCTGCTTCTGCAGCATCTTCTTAAAAATCATCCCGAATTTCCCCTGCTTTCCTCCCGCCACTGCGAGAGCCACCAGGCCAAATCCAACGTGCCGTTATACCTCATCAGCGTCACATCCCAGGGAACCCAGAAACCGGGAGCAGCCGTGAGCTCTGCCTGGAACAGTAAGCTGTCCCCCCGCCTCCTGCCCTGACTAACAGAGCAGCCCCTGCTCCTCCACAGCAGGAGCGGAGGCTCCCCTACCTTCAGGCGCTGAGCACCTGCCCACAAGAGGCAATTCCAGCCGGCGGCTCCTCCAGAGCTCGGCTGGAGGGGCTCAGGGGATGGCCGGACCTGCTCGCGGCCACAGGACACAGCTTTCCCAAGGGACGAGGCCGGGCCACGGCACGGCATAATCCAGCCCCCGGCTGCCCTGCGGGCAGGGCCTGAGGGAAGCCGGGCCGCGCCGGGGCGATCGCGGGCGCCACACGCTCCCTCACCTGTACCCGCGGTTGGAGGTGCGCGGCGGGATGCGGTAGACGTTGACATCGGGCTTCACGCAGAGAACGGACTCGTACTCCAGCTCGGCCGCCGCCATGTCGACCGCGAAGCCCGGCGAGGAGCGAGCGGCGGGAGCCTAGTGACTAGCGGCGCTGCCCACCGCCATCTTTGATGAGGGCAGACACCGCCTGGGGGCGCCGGCGCGGCCGCGCTAGACGCGGGCCACGTTTGTGAAGCGGGGGGAGCCATCTTGGGTGCTGGCAGTGGGGGCGGAAGGGCGCCATCTTGGAGCCGCCCCTGACACAGCAGCGGCGGCCGGCGCCATTTTGGGGCCTGGCAGGTGCCGTGGCGGGGGTGGCGCGGCCATGTTTGCTATGGGCGCCGTGCCCGGGGGTGGCGCGAGCCGCGGGGGTGGTGGGAAGGGCCGGGCAGCGGGATGGCGGGAGCGGCGGGATGGTTGTGCCGCCTCACGGTATCGACCTGCTCGTCTGCATCCCCCGGGAGCTGCTCCCTGCGCCCTGGGGGGCTCAGTGTCAGTTCTTTCTGTGGTGCGTGGATTAGGCCGCTTTGTGGTACAAGAGCAAGCCAAAAAGGAAACGCGGCGCAGAGCAGGGCTTGCTGCTGGAAGTGATGGGAATGGCAGCTGTGCAAAGCTTCGTTTCAGGAGTGGGTCTTCCCCCAGAAAGACTGTAGATACTAGTTTATTTGTCAATAATGATGAGGCTGGCAGCATTTAAACCACTGTTTTAATGGTGGCTTCTCAGAGGAGACTGGTGTTGAAGTTTAGTGCTGTGCGGCATCCTGTGACTGAGTCTCAAAAAGTACCAGTGTTTACTCTGAAAAGTGGAAGAAAAGGCAAAGAGAAGTTTAAAAATTGCACAGAGCCATGTCTGAGCATTCCAGGTCAAGCACTGGAGCGGGCTGCCTAGGGGAGTGGTGGAGTCATCATCCCTGGAGGTGTTGAGGCAAAAATAATCACTGAAACACCACTAAGTTTGAGGGTGTGGTTTTTTTTTTGTTGTTGTTTTTTTTTTTTTTTGGGGGGGGGGGGGTTTTTTTGTTTGGGTTTTTTGTTTGTTTGTTTTTTGTTGTTGTTGTTTTTTTGTTGTTGTTGTTGTTTATTGTGAACGCTTTACCCATTCAGCAAGCAACAGTGTACCAGACCATACCATCTCCCCAGGACAAACAGCCATCAAAGAGGTTTTGCTTGTTTGTTTGTTTGCTTGCTTTCCCAGTAGGGTAATAACATTAGTTAATGCAGACAGAGCCATGGCTGTCTAGTCTCTATTCTCTATGATTTTTCTTGTTCTATAACTTTAGGATCAACGACCTAAAGGACCAGCATTCAGAATTCAAGAAGAAACTTGCATTTACCTTTTGGATAGAGTTGCTCGTTGACCTAATTTTTCATTAGAACTTCCTGCAGTGACTGCTAAATTTTTTCATTGAGCACTAATAACTTACTGGGAGTACACCCCTCCATGTGCATAGTTGCTTTTCTGCTTTTCCAAGTTCAGTGATTCACAATTAGCAGTATTAAGTTTCACCTCCCTCTTCACAGTGCTGTCATTCAGCGTGCCACAGTCCTCCTACGGTCCCTCTAGAAGGAGAGCATCTCGGATGAGGGAGTGGCAAAGGGCCAGCTATTATAAGGCATGTGAGCAAAGACTCACAAGCAGCACCAGAATGCTGGGAATACATCTCCCATTCAATTCCATTGAGACTTAGCCAGCAGAGAACATCACATTCTTCAGCTGGGTTCAAACAAGCATCTCTGGACCAAAAGAAAAAAATACAAAGCACTGCCAATAACCACTGAATCTTAAATTTTTATTTATATTATTTACTTTTCTCTTTTTTTAAGGATTCAGTAGAAAGGTTGAAATCTTGAAATAGAACATTTAACCTGGAAGATAGAACTGGTTAAGGACCTTCCTGCAAAGTAGGGCTTGACTGACAGGTCCCACTGTGGTGACCATGTGTCCCTCAGCCAAGAGGAGCCCATAGGAATAAGCTCCTATCAGCACTGCCTGTCTGGGCCTGAGGAGTCCCCGTGGCAGGATGGCAGCTGAGAATAAGATGAAGCTACAGGAATTTTCCTGGCAGGCTGCTGACAGCCTGTCTATCTTTGTGGGTACAGCTCAGCCCTGGCCTGTCTTCCTTTCTCTGGTTTTGTGTTGGAGGCAGCATCTGTGTCTCTCACAAACACGCTCAGGAGCAGAAGTCTGCTCTGTCACAGTTCATTTTCCTGACCAAAACCAAAATACTGAGGCTGATTCTTGTTTGTCTGGGCTTTGTCATTTCTGCTAGCAGTCTTGATTTCCCAAATTGTGAAAGGCGAGGGGGAACCCCCTTGTTAAACATTAGAAATGCCTTGCCCTGGAAGTCTTCCATTTTTATTGTTTTGCCACATTTTGTGCAAATCACCCATTTCAGTTAACCACTTCTAACTTTTTGTCAGTCAAGTTGCTTTTTAAAAAATAGACTTTTAATACCCTGAAAAGTAAAGGGCAGGTTAAAATCATTTTGTCATGATCAGTCACTGTTTGGTGAGTACAGTGTTCTGTATTTGATGAAGCAAACTGTCTCAAACTGGGACAGAAGCTGATCTGGATTGGTAAAAATCCTATAAATGAGATTAGCTACGTGAACGTGCTGACCTGGTAAGACACGGAAGTGGCTACAAGACAATAACAGATCAGACATTTCACAGCAACACTGCAGGGTTTGGACTTAGGAATTACTTCCAGCAAAGGTCACACTGTGTCAACAGGCAAGATGTCATTCAGTTGTCTTACAGAACATAGTAAAGTATATGCTTGTGATTATAATTCTATTAATATTTTATTTCAAGCACTATTCTATTTTTACAGTTTTGAGAAACTTCCTGTGGTGTGACCCTTTATTTTATGAGCAGATGATATCTAAATTTTGAAATTACATTCAAATGAGTCATTTTATCAGGGTGAAAGAACACACTTGGCACACACAGGATGCATGCAGGAAAAAAAATGCAGTTCCTAAAATGTCATGTGAGAGTTTTTTCAGTCACTCCAGAGACGATTGATGGTACTTGCTCCAACACACTGAAATAACTGCTTCGCTTAGGTAGGTGTCATAAACTGGAGAATTTTGCTTTCCTCATCTACTTGTCATTTATTATTCTTTACTCCTGAAAACCGCTCTCCCTCCTCCAGTTCTCCCTTTCATTTTCAAACCACATTGCAGCCCTTTTAGCACTCTGGAAAATATAGTGTGGGCAGTATCTTCTAATCGATTCGTGGAGTAGGACTTGCATTACTATGTTACAGCATTCCTTGTTTCCCTGTCCTCTTCGTACCATTTTCTGTAGCTATATGGGGAGGCAGCAGGGTTCAACTCTTGCAGCACTGTTCGCCAGTTGTCCCTCTAAAAGTTGCTTCTACGTGGATCAGCAAGACCACAGGAAATGGAACAAATGAGGGAGAATTTTAAATTAAGCCTCCAGCTTTAAGTTAAGCCTTCCAGTAATGTCTTTCATAGCTTTCCTTGCAGGTCACCCTCACGTATTACAAGTCTCTTAGCAGATGTTACCAAAACCTGATAAATGGTGATGTTTGTTACAATTGTTTATCTCTATTTATTTTCTTCTTAGTCAAACAGTTTGAACACTTATGCATCACTCCACTTTCAGACTGCACATTATGCAAGAGTTATTTGATTTTTTTTTTAATAATATTTATATTTAGTCCTGATGCAACAATCTCTGACTGGTATTTAAATACTGGCATAACAGAAGTTTAAAAAGGGTCAGTTGTCTTATTTATCTCTTTTCAGTTCCTTCTGCAGGCTGTATTCACCTCTTCCCTATTCAGTTTCCTTGCATTTTGGTAACATTATTTGGGACCTTTCAGTAATACAACTGCCTTCATCAATTCACCAGGGGTTTAGTTAACAGGAATTTTTTAGACAATTCTATTAATGCCTAAAGGACGAAGATCAGGGTTTTTTTTTTCTCAATTCTATCTTAGCTTTGCTGTTTTTCTTCTCCTTTCTAAATTTACTAGTCCAAGAATAATTGAGCAGTTAACATTTTTCCTCTACTATGGTCATAGTTTTAAAATGTCACTTAAGTATGCTGTAGGTCAGCTTCATTGTCTTGCAGTAAGATACCTCATATCTAAAATGGCTGAAGAACATTACTTCGTGTTTTCATTTATATTTCTACAAGTAAATATCTGTCTGTTCTTCTTAAACATTCATTTCTTATCTTTCATAGAATCTTAGACCATTAATGTCTTGCCTTTCTCCTGGTCAAGATAAGCTTTCCAAGGAACCAGCAGATAGCTGTAAGAAAAGGAAGTGGTCACTGGCACTTCCCTAAAATACCACTTAACCAACAGAATTTATGTCCTGTCTGTTCTATTTGTAATGTTCAGAAAGCGAAGCAGGGTTATTTCAGGAAGACAGGCATTGTTTTCTTAACTTAAATGTACTTCACCAATTATGCCAGAAGAAATTGCTCATTTTAAAGGAAAGAGGAACTAAAAATACTGATTTGCCTTTCTGAAGCAGGAAGTCAACCAGGAAACACACCTGGAGACAGCATGGCCATGTGAATAGAGAGCTCCACTTTGGAGACTAAGAAAAAACAGATGGAAATCAAGGGGATGACAGAGATAGGAGAACACAACTGTATAGAGCCCCCTGTTTGAATAGCAAGCTTACTTACAGGTTTAGCCACTATGAAAATTATGAAGATGTACAACAAGTACACTAGTAACAAATTTGTGTAGGCCAATGCCTTTGTATCCTGACAGCTCTGTACTTTCACCTGACTCAGAGATGCTTCAGTGAAGGTCAAGAGAAGAATTTGGGGAGCAGGATCACAGAATCACTAGGTTGGAAGAGACCTTCAAGATCGAGTCCAACCCATGCCCGAACACCTCAACTCAACCATGGCATCAAGTGCCATATCCAGTCTTTTTTTAAACACATCCATGGATGGTGACTCCACCAGCTCCCCAGGCAGACCATTCCAGTACTTTATCACTCTTTCCATTAAAAAAACTTCTCCTAATATCCAACCTGTATTTCCCTTGGTGCAACTTAAGCCTGTGTCCTCTCATTCTGTCAGCTGCTGCCTGGAGAAAGAGATCAACCCCCACCTGACTACAGCCACCCTTCAGGAAGTTGTAGAGAGTGATAAGGTCACTTCTGAGCCTCCTTTTCTCCAGGCTAAACACCCCCAGCTCCCTCAGTCATTCCTCACAAGGCTTGTGTTCCAAGCCCCTTGCCAGCCTTGTTGCCTCCTCTGGACATCTCGATGTCCTTCCTGAACTGAGGGGCCAGAACTGGACACAGCACTCAAGCTGCTGCCTCACCAGTGCCAAGTCAGTCCTGTGCCCTCAAGATCTCTGTTTTAAAGCACACCCACCTTTCCTGGACTCCTTTCTTTTTAAGGGCTGCTTCCCAAGGAATTCTCTTATTAAGTCTCCTAAATAGGCCAAACTCTGCCCTCTGGAAGTCCAATGTAAGAGTTTTATTGATGTTGCTCCTCATTTCACCAAATATACAGAACTCTATAATTTCATGATCATTATGCCCCAAGTGGCCTCCAACCACCACATCTCCCACCAATCCATCTCTATTTGTAAACAGCAGGTCTAACATAGTCCTTCCCCTGGTGGGCTCACCCACCAGCTGTAACAAAAAGTTGTCCTCTACACTCTAAGAACTTCCTGGACTGCCTCTTTTCTGCTGTATTAAGTTCCCAGCAGATGTCTGGTAGGTTGAAGTCACCTACAAGAACATGGGCTGGTGATCCTGAAACATTCTCCAGCCACTTACAGAATAAGTTGTCCACTTATTCTTCCTGGCTGCGTCGATGATAACAGACTCCCAGTAGAATGCCAGCCTTGTTGGCCTTCCCCCTAATTCTTCTAATAGGCATTCAACTTCATGGTCATTAGTTTCAATACCTATGGCACCAAAAGCCTCCCTAATATAAAGAGCCACCCCTTCTCTCTTTCCCGTCTCTTCTGAAGAGCTTGTAGTCATCCAGTGCAGCACTCCAGCCATGTGAGTCATCCCACCATCTTTCTGTGATGGCAACTACATCATAGCTTTGCTGTTTCACCATGGCCTCCAGCTCTTCTCGTTTGTTACCCATGCTGCATACATACATGCACCTCAGCTGGGCTGCTGATTTCAGCCCTAATCCAGGCTTACCACCCTTGGTCCTGCTTCCAGAGAGCCCAGTTGCATCCCCTTCCCCCTTCAGACCTAGTTTAAAGCCCTCTCAATGAGTTACACCAGTGCACAAGCTAAAATCCTTCTACACTTACCAGGGAGATGGAGCCCATCCAGTTCCAGCAAGCCAGGTGCTGAAAAAGCTGCCTTATGATCAAAGAACCCAAAATTCTGCTGATGACACCAACCCTTGAACCACTTATTGATAATGTGGGCTCTCCTATTCCTTTGATTGCTTTTCTCTGCCACCAAAGGGACCTGTGCTCCTGCCCTATCATCCACTTGATCCAGTGCCCTAAAGACCCTTTTAATTGCCCTGTCCTCTTTTCAATCTCATCCCTGCCAGCCTGGAGTACCAGCAGTGGGTAATAATGAGAGGGCCAAATCAGCCCAGGATTTGGGATCATCTCTCAGTAATATCCCATACCCAGGCCCCAGGGAGGCAGCAGATCTGCCTGTGGGGTGAGTCCAGTTAACCTCAGAAGGGAGTCATTCACGACAACTACCCTTCTTTTCTTTTTTAATGTTAGAGGCGCTGATCCATCTGACAGATGAAGTGTAGTTGGGAGGCTCACTCAGATAATTTTCTTCTATGTCCTCTGGCTGACCCTCTAGATCCAGGGCCTCATACCTATTCTGAAGTGGCACCTAGCTAAGAGGATGGGCGTCGGGAGGAATTTTTATTATTACCTCCCCGAGTAGGGACCCATTTCTACTCTCCTTCATCCACCAGGTGTCCTCCTATTGCCTGACAGTGGGAGGGCATGGGAGTCCTCTGACTCCTGGTGGGCCTCCCTCAAGGAAGGAACAGCGGAATTCCACCAATCCATTTCCCTTTTACTTTCCCTAATACTCCTTAGCCTTTCTACTTCCTCTCTAAGCTCGGCCACCAGCAAAAGGAGATCGTTCACCTGTTCACCCCGCCGGCAGGCAGTTTCTGCAACGGCCTCTGGAGCCACTGACAGGCTCAAACACTCCTCAAAAACAAACAAACAAAACCAAACCAACCAAAAAAACCACAACAAACTAAAAACCCCACTAGCAGGAGGGAACCTGCGACCCTCCCTGTTTGCCCACTCCTGACCGCCGCGCTCCCTAGAGCCGTCTTTTAATCACCCGCCGCTCACCGCAGGAAAGCCCCGCCCTGCGCTTGTGGGTCATGAGAACCAAGGATGTGAATTGCTACTAATTTCCTTTCTGTTCTACAGCTGCAGAATGCCTCAAGTTCTGGGCAATAGCAGTTCAGAGGAACAGGCTGCTGTGAATTATGCATCAGAATCAATTGTTTGCATTGCTATCTTCACCATCATTTTCATCATAGGCATTCCAGGCAATGGGTTGGTGATCTGGGTAGCTGCTCTGAAAATGAAAAGGTCTGTGAACACTGTCTGGTTCCTAAACCTTGCCGTGGCTGACATCATGTGCTGTTTGTCCTTGCCATTTTTCATTGTTCACCTGGCCCTTCATGAACACTGGCCCTATGGCTGGTTCCTCTGCAAAGTCATTCCATCAGTCATAATCTTCACCATGTTTGCTAGTGTCTTCCTACTCGTGGCCATCAGCATTGATCGGTGCCTCCTGGTGATGAAACCTGTCTGGTGTCAGAACCACCGAGCAGTGAAATTTATATCGCTAATATGCAGAGGCATTTGGATGCTGGCCTTCATTTTCTGCTGCCCTGTCTTCTACTACCGTGAGACAAGCACTTACGATGGCAAAACAGAGTGTGGGTACAATTATGGAGTTGATGATTACATAGATTATCCTATAAATGTATCTGCAAATGTGTCTGTAAATGATTTATGGGAAGAATACTCAACCTACAATGACAGTGACTTGTGGGGAGATACCAATGAAGGTAATGATTCTGTACCCCTTGCCTCAGTGGTAATAAACGTCACTAGGGCTGTCTTTGGCTTTGTGCTCCCCTTTGGCATAATGGCAGTTTGCTACACCCTCATTGTTTTCAGAACACACGCAAATCAGTTTCACAAGTCACACAACAGGACACTGCGAACAATTGTGTGTGTGGTGGCTGCATTCTTCATCTGCTGGGCTCCATACCATGTAGTTGGGATGCTCTCCATTGTACCTAGTCTTAGAACAGGACTGATGGAGTCACTGACCCTGTGGGATCACCTCTCTACAGCACTTGCGTATGCCAACAGCTGCATCAACCCCCTGCTCTATGTTTTTGTGGGACGGGACTTCAGGGCAAAGGTACGGCAATCGGTGCAAAGAATTTTAGAAGGTGCCTTTAGTGAGGAGCTCACATCTTCAACCCTTCACAGAAGCCAGACTTCAGCAGACAAGAACCTGAGCAGCACGTTGTAATGCAGGACTTCCTATCACTGCTGTAGAAAGAACAAGCTATAGCGCTGGATATCAATCACTCTCCGCTTAGCAGGTGGTTTTGCTCCAATGTTTGATTGATCTGCAGCTCCAACGCAGGACGCTGCAATCTTTCAGCTCATGATAACCCCCTTTATATCCTACACTAGAGAGATGGGAAGTTGGAAGCACCAAGAGTAATAATCTGAGGAATGACTGGTGAAACAGAAGACACAGTATTTTAACCTACACAGACTATTTTAAGAAAGCAGGGCTGGCTACGGATTTGTGGTGGGAATCGTGAATTTGAACCTCTCAGTTGAGATAAGAATATTATTTTTTTTGCATATGTCTGTGTACTACATCTCTTATCTCTGATAAAGTGCAGATAAAACTAACTTGGATAACTCGGATGGTCATCGCATCATTCCTCTGACTCTAGTAGGGCTCTCAGGTGTGTGTAGGAATATGTGGAGATTCCCTAGAGGGTACTGCTACATTTCCTTACAGCTATGCACTAAAACAGCACTTGCCCCACTCAGCTTTTGTGCCCTGTAGACACCCAATCCATTCCTTTGTTCTGGCAAATCCATCACTGTGTGGTAGTAAGTGGTCAATGCACATGCTGTACATTGGCATGTGCACACTCACTGTCGTCCCAACGCTCTCTCCCCACCACCAGAATCCCACATCTTCCTTTTAGAAAGCAGTTTGAAATTATCCAAATGTACCTACTGTATTTTGAGATGGCACATGAGCAGAATTTGAGCAGCTGCAGTCACTGATGACCCAATTAGGTGACTGCTGGTCTATTAGCCATTTGGCAAAACCCTGGAACCGAGAAGTGACAACCTCCGATCTGACCCCAAGAAGATAGAGAATGACCATGCTGTGGCTCAGTCACATCAAGTTCTCTTTACAAGAGAGATGTGCTTCTTATGTCCTTCCAGTGGAGAAAAAGTTTCATCCAGTCAGGCTATTTGGGGTGCTCCCAAGGTTGAATGTTCCCTGCTCCTGAAAACCAGAAATACATTTACTAGGTACTCTACAGAAGCAGTTTAAAATCTGTTTTTTGTGTTAGTTCTTCCTTAAAAGAGAAAAGCCAGTAAATATTAAGAAAAATAGACACTAAGCATTGGTAGAGTTTTCACTCTGCCTTTCTGGTGAGCATGAATTGAAAGACTCTCAGATCTCACTGCCCTGAGAACAGACAGCTGGCAGAAACTTCCGCTCTTAAAATCCCAAGAAGTCTCTATCTCAAGAACAACCAGGTGTGGGCTGTCCATTTAGCCATGTCCACATCCAAATTCTAAGGTGGGAACCAGGCCATTCTGACAGGCGCTGCTGAAAGAAAAAAATCAATACTGGCACCAAAAGAGTTAAACCATAAACATTCACTTTTTCTTTTTATTAAGAAAGCATGCACAAAAATAAACTCGTGAGACCACGCCCCTCTCTCCCTGACCACTGACACGAAGCATTGGAGGCCACATCAGGCTGGAGGGGCCTGCAAGACCCCTCTGTGGGCTAGGCTGGCCCCCCTGCCCTGCCTGCAGGCTGGTGCCAGCTCACCCGCAGAGCTCCACAGCCTCCCATCGATGTCTTACCACGCACTAACAACACACATTGATTTCAGGGGCAGAGGAACGAGGCTAATTTGCACACTGACCGGCATGTATTTACATATGCAAATGAGGCACAACTTAATACGCAAATGAGGCAAATATGCAAATGAGGAGCACTTGGATACGCAGAAGGAACCATCTTGGTTTGTTTTTCTTCCGGTGCTGTTTTCAGACTTCCACAGGGCCGGCTCTCAGTAATGTCCACTGCAAAACACTAACTGGGGCACCTGCTGTAAATTGTCTCTCGTTGTCTCCGGTGCCACTTTCCACAGAAACTTATCACACATGCTTCCAAAGCTGTATCATTCCCATCCTGAGGCAGCAGAGATAACAGCTGACTCCATGTTGAAGCTGTCTGGGATTCCTCATTTCTCTCGGAAATGCTCAATGACTAACTCCCCCCCAGACACACACTTAAAAAAAAACAAAAAAAAAAACAAAAAAAAAACCCAAAAAAAAAAAAAAAAAAAAAGGGAAAAAAAGGTGCTGTTCCCCCCTTCCAATGCAATGAGACTCTGTCCACTTCCCTGACAACAATCCAATTTTCAACTGGTTTATCCCTACAGCAAATTTAAAAAGCAGTGCTAGTTCCCCACCTTCCTGCAGTCAGACTAGAGGTTATTATTTTACTCCTGTGCTCCAGGTCTGTCAAGCAGCCATGATAGTCTATTTCCACATTTGTTCCCTTCACTGGTAATTAGGGAGTAGGGCTGGGGGAGGCTTTACAAAATATTAAGAAGAAACAAGAGGTTTGACAGAATGGAGCCATATGAGAAAAGAAGGGGAACACAGGACAACTTTGGGGAGGAAGCATCTAAATGCTCACTCCCGTTCCTGCACCTTTCCGACCTTCCTGATTTGCATGTGCTGACAAAGCTCATCCTTCAGGATTTACACTAGGTTAATTCATCTCCCCACCTGAACTGCAAGGGGTCTGAGACACCCTCCTCCCTTTCACACTACACTCTTTGGTTGGTCGGTTCAAAACCCTGCCCTGCTTCACCCTCTCTCCCCTAATGCCCCTCTTACAATAAATGCTTGCAAGGGCCTCTCGATCCCTGACCAGAGGGGCTCAGCCCTTGACCAGCAGCCCCCCAGTCCAGCCCCACTCTGCCCATCACGAGCCCATTCACCAAGTGGGAACCGCTGACAGGGGATGTACACCTACACAGCCAGACTCCTGTTGCTGGCACTCTCAACCACAGGCAAGGACAGCCTCCAAAGAAATATGAGGGGTGAAGGACCAAATAACAATTGGACAAATACTGATGAGAGAAAACTTCCAAATTTGCATATAAAAGGGAGAGCCTCACTACATATTTTGAAAAAGGGCTTGAAGGGGTGTGGGGTGAAATGAAAAGCTCTGGGGAACAGAATTTGCTGAATCACATGTGACACCCCTGACTGCTTCTTCTACCTGATGGGTATATAGGCTTCACCTAGAGACTGCAAAAGGCAGTGTAGGAAATGGGTCAGGATCCCTCAAAATCTCTCAGTCTTCACAGATGGCACCACATTCTGAAACCCAACTTCTCTGCTGAAATACCATATCTATTACATTCTCCTTTCTCCAAACTCAGGTCTGCCCTCCCAGCTCAGCTCAACTCTCCCTACCTCAGGGATTACCCTCTCTTTGTACTTGGGAACACCACTTACTTTCTTGCTGTTCCTGCTGGTGCAACAAAGTTCACAGAGCTAAGATCACCCCTCCAGTGTCCCTTCAGCCCCCTGACCTTTACAACATTTACGAAACAACATAACTACAGGCTCCCAGGGTCCACTAGGCTCTCTCACTCCAGTAGCCAATACGACAGATTCACCGGCCACCTTGAAGGGAAAGAGGGATTGTTAAACGCAAAATAACAGAGGCAGAGAAAGATGCACTCGAGGATTCAGCCTTCCAAGGTCTTTTCATGGCACCAAGGACCCATCTTCCCACCCTCCACAGGGCACTGCGCAACACGAAAGAGCCGATCCGATGCGTCTGAGGCCACCGGAGGAGGGGGAGGGCTGTGTTCAATTATTGGTAATAATAATAATAACAATAATAATAATAAACAAAAGAAGAAAAGAAGATAAAACAGGACGCAAGGAAGGATTATCTTCGGCAGCATCTTGCGGTGGCTTCTCTGGCGGAGATAGAGAATATATATCTATATACAGGCAAGGCAGGGAGGCTGGGGAGGGTGGTGCTGACACCGTTGACCCCATGTCCCCCTCCCCTCCCACGTCCTTCATAAAGGACGGGCTATCAAGTCTGTAACTCGCTAGGTGATTAAGTCCCAGTCGAAATCATCGGGGATTTCCTCATTGGCGCCTGGAGGAGGCCCTGGAGGCCGAGGGACCAGGTGATGAGCTGAGCCAAAAACAAGAAAAAAGAAGAAAAAGGAAAGAGAAGAGTTAGAATCTAACTCTTCTAAAACTACATGCTTTTACACAGTGGGTCCTTGGGCAAAAGAAATTAAAAGTGATTTGGGCCTTCTCCTTTCCAACAGTCTTAACAAAGCAAGAACACCACTGCCATGAATCTCTGTCACCATCTACTAGTGTCTGGGAATGTTATGCTGGAAATTCTCCATAGCAGCTTTTCAGAAGTTAAGTTTCAGCCTCCTTTACTTACCTCATAGCTGACTGCTGATAGAGCACAAATGACTTCATCAACAGAAGCTTCTCATGTACAGCTGTCTGTGAACAACTAACTGAGGCTGAGGCTAAGCTAGAAGACTGTTTATGTGAAGTGAAAGAAATCAGGCCTTTGACATCCTAAACCTTCCCAGAGCTATAACAAAGCCCCAAAAGGAGGGTCCCTTGCAGTCCATGCTCCCTCTCTACCCACAGTGCTCCATTTGATTACTAAATGCTTTGGGATAAATGCACAAAGAGGTTGGGAACCAGTTCTTTAATGTTCATTGGTGCAATATGCCTTAACATCACCCCTTACCTGGGCGATTGTATCCTGGAGAGTCCTGGGTAGAAATCTGGTACATAGGAGATGGCCCGGAGAAGAGATGGGGAGGCTGGGGCTGACCATAGGAGTTCACTGTGAAAGGAAATGAATTAAGAAAAGAAAAAAACAACTGTTAATGTTCAGGTTAAGAAGTCTTGGCCCTGACTGGGTGGCAGCTCAGCCACAGAGCAACTCACTCAGACCCACAGGATACTGAGGAGATGTTCAGCTGTTGAGTCCTAATTTCAAGCTATAGCTTGGTCAGGGATCTTGTTCTTGAAACCAGCAGGAGTTTCTCTATTTTTGTAGGAGAGGAAAATATTCACCCAGAAACACCACAAGCTGGCTCAATATCATCCATTTAGTTCAGTACTAGATGACACACACCATTACAGTTCTACCAAGACCACCGTATCTCCTCCTCAGAATGTATCCCCTTCTCCTTTGTACAGTACTTCAACAAGGGTGCAAGAGCTTTCTCCTTTACTGTTCCTGCCATCTGGAATAACAAACTCTCTACCTTGCCATTGTCTCTGTTGGTCACCTAAAAAATACCTCTCCTTCTCTTCCAGGTTTGTCTTTTAAATGTATTCCTGCCTGGAGGTTGCCTGTCAATAGTACGCATCACGTAACAGCAGTCTGTCCAGACCACAGGTACAGGACATCCCAGTTCTTTAAAGGCAGAGAAGGCTGAGTTGCTATGAACAGTTCTGACAGCCTAGCTCTGAGTTGCTCAGTGCTGCATGGCCTGGTAAGGCTGCAAGTAATTTAGGATACTCACAGAATTGGGCCTTCATTTGCATGTCATTTTAGACTCCTCCTAATTACCTTGGTTCATGGATTGCTCCTGTTTGCCACTGTTCAGGGCACAAGAATCAGAGATTCGAGGGGGTTGCTGTGGGCCAACCAGATGAGGGAGCTGACCAGTCTGGGTAAGGAAGTGATTAAGGGAGTCACAGAGGTTGGCAATATGGTGTTGATCCAGCGTCCAGTTCTTCCGCTCAGCCTGGCGCAAACTCTCCATGAGCTCTGCAGGGGACAGAGGAGAGTGTCAAAGACAGCAGTCGCACCGTGATCTTCCCTGCAAAGAATTTCTGTCTTCTGTCCCTAAATCCTACCTCCTCCTCACAAACCAAACTTTATAGTTTCAAATCAGTCACCAGACTCCTGAAGAGCTCCACATCTAAGATACTGTCACACTGACTCAGGCAGGGCAAGGAAGAGTTGGAAGGGAAAAGCTCAGTTAGCTTTCTGACATACTTTTATGACTTAATTCTCCCTGCCCCGAACCCTGCAGTGTTCATTCAAGTGCTTCAGGATCTTTGACAGAACCCAGAACGCATGAAGTAGGACACCTCTTTTTAAAAGTGAGGTGAATCATGGAGAAATCCAGGCACTTGCCACAGTTACACTGAAAAATAGATCCTTGCACAGCACTTGCATGTTGTAGACTACAGCCCTAGTCATTGAGTCACTTGGCCAACACTGACCTGAG